AGCCCGCAGCCCCGCCGCTCCCCGGAGCTGGCCCCGGTGAGCCAAGCCCCTCGCCCCGGCGGGCAGGTGATGGCGAGGCCACCCCAGCAGGGCTCGTCCCCGAGGGCATCACCCCCTCGGCTGCAGGTGCCCTGCAGCACCTCCCCAACACCCCTGTCACCAGCTCTGTCACCAGCTCTGTCACCAGGCTCCAGCCCTCGGTCCAGGAACGTTTTCCTTTCCTTCAGACAGCAGCAGCATCCCCCCTCCAAGAGCTATAGCCGAGGTTTCCATCATGACCCCTCTGATGAAACAAGTGGGCTGAGCTCCCTCAAAAGCGTTTTGTCTGGTGGTGATACATTTAGGAGGCTCCTTGTCCCTCCACGTGTGTCACCCACCACCCCGGGGGACACCGGGGATGTGTCTGCCAGCTGGAGCTGCCTCGGGCGGTGGTGGCTTTGAGGGGGATTATGTGCGGCTGGCCCAGGCGCGGGGGGCTAGAGCCGCCCACCCCCTATCCCATGCTCCCCCCCCAAGCTGTGCTGCTGTTCCAGCTGCCTGCACTTAGGACCTGGAGGAAGCACCCGGCGCAGGCTGAGAAGGATCATGTGATGGTGGTGTCCACGTCCCCCTTCGTCCCCCGTCCCGGGCCTGCCAAGCACCCAGCGAGGATGGGGCTGCTGGCCCTCACCCTGCTGCTGGCGGCAGGCCTCCCGCACACACAGGTTAGCAAACACGGGTGGAAAGTTCGGGAGAAGCGCGCAGGGCTGAGGTGCAAAGGATCCAGTGGGACGGCTCTGGGATCCGCCTTGCTTTCCTCCCCCACGTCCCTGCTCTTCCTGCTATGGCTCCCTTCTGCTGCAGCCCGTGTCCCGCCCCAATGTCCCGCCTGTGCTTCCAGCTCCCTGCCTGCCCTCCCAGCACCCATCCCCAGCAGCACCCGTCCCCCAAAATGCCACCAGCTTAGCTGCAGGGTGTTTGATTAGCGAGGGGGGGCCATCAGGCGGTGCAAATGGCTGCCCTGCTTGTCCCTCCTGCTCTCCCAGGACAGCATGGTACCTGCCTTGTCCCTGCACTGAGGATGGGGAGGGTGCCCCCCAGGAACCAGCCCCTGTCAGTCCCTGTCCCACGGAGTGTGGGAGGGGGCGGCTGGGCTTGGGGAGGGTCTGCAGGACCCCAGCACTGCCCCTCTCCCGCAGGCCTCCCCCCCGGCACGCTCCTTCCAGCTGGATTATGAGGAGGACTGCTTCCGCAAGGATGGTGCCCCTTTCCGCTACATCTCGGGCAGCATCCACTACGCCCGTGTCCCACGCCCTGCCTGGAGGGACCGGCTCCTCAAGATGTACATGAGTGGGCTCAGCACTGTGCAGGTGTAAGTGACGGGGGCAGCCCTGATGGCGCACAGCACACAGCCACCGCGGCCCCTCGGGGTCTCTGGGGTCCCCGGAGTAGGGACAGAGGCAAGGGTGTTGTCTGATCACAGGGATCGGGGACCAGCCCTTGCACTGGGCTGACTGTGACCCCCAGGACGCCCCTGACAGACACAAGCATGAGCCTGGGATAGTCCCAGTCCAGCCGCAATTGCTATCCTCAGCCCAGGCTGGAGGCCAGTTCCCAGGAGCAGAGGGACCAGCCTGTGGGACGGTTCCCCATCGTGCTGGGGTACCCTTAGCCCCCGCGTGCTGATCTCCCCTCTCATCCCAGCTACGTCCCCTGGAACTACCACGAGCCGCTGCCGGGGGTTTATGACTTTGCTGGGGACAGGGATGTGGAAGCCTTCCTGGACCTGACAGCTGAGCTGGGGCTTCTGGTGATCCTGCGGCCGGGGCCTTACATCTGTGCGGAGTGGGAGATGGTGAGCCCCAGCCCCCAGACCTAGGACGGAGGGGTCATGGGTGGCCCGGGAAGGGCACAGCAGGGTTGGCCCTTCTGGCTGGCACGCCAGCCCCAGTGCCATGACAGCCATGCCCAGGCTGCCACTCCGTGGGGCACATGCCACTCTGGTGCCGAGCACTAGCATTGCCCTGGCCTGGTTTCGGCTGTGTGCCGGCCCGGGCTGCTGAGCGGTTTCTCTGCCTCCCTCTCAGCTGTGGGTGTTTCTCCAGGGTGGCCTGCCCGCCTGGCTGCTGTGGAAACCAGACATCGTCCTGCGCTCCTCCGACCCTGGTGAGCCTCGGCATGGGGCTCTGGCCACCGTGTCCTTACAGCCTGGTGCCAGTCCTGGCACGCCGGTCTCTCGCCACGCGCCTGCCAGCCCTGCTGCGTGGTCTCCCACATCCTCTTCTCCATCTTTTGGGAGAGCCGTAGTTCATCCTCTACCTCCACTTCCCCATCATGCTCGGTTCTGCCCCGTCTGCTCCATCCTCCTCCTGGCAGGGCTGGCTGTGGGTGGGCTGGGGTGGACGCTGCAGCCAGGCTGAGCTGCCCTCTCTCTCCCCAGGCTACCTGGCAGCCGTGGACTCCTGGCTCCATGTCCTGCTACCCAAGATCAAGCCACGCCTGTACCAGCATGGAGGGAACATCATCAGTGTGCAGGTAGGGTGCTGTGGGACCCGGCCCCCTGCCCTGCTCTGGGTCATCTTTGGATGTGCCCCAAAAAGCCACCTGTACCCCCTACACCATGCCCTCATCTGGCACAGCTCTTAGATAAATCCCTCCCGACTTGTGGACCTGGGTTTAAATCCAAGGGCTGGGACTCTGGGGTACCTGCCATCTCCCCAGTTGTGGTTTGAGGGACACTGGCACAGCTGGGGGTCATACTGGGGCTGGAAGGTCAGTCTTGGGACGCACCTGGGGGCTGTCATGACATCTAATGATGTCAGGAGGGAAGTGGGGAACTGGGTGCTCATCCCAGTGCGTGGCGAGACCTGGCTGCAGCCCTGCCATGCACACGCTGGGTGCCGGCCCCTGCCCTGCTCGCAGGTGGAGAACGAATACGGGAGCTACTATGCCTGTGACTATGAGTACCTGCGGCACCTGCTGGGCTCCTTCCGGGCGCTGCTGGGGAGTGAGGTGCTGCTCTTCACCACCGATGGCACGCGGGCGGAGGAGCTGCGCTGTGGCACGCTGCAGGGGCTCTACGCCACCGTCGACTTTGGACCAGGTACCCCTATGAGGGAGGAGGAGGAGGAGAGGGGATGGGGGTCCCAGCTCCGTCCTGCTCCAACTTCCCTCCCACCACCTCCGCAGGCTCCAACGTGACGGAGGCGTTTGGTGCCCAGCGCCGGGTTGAGCCAAAGGGGCCCCTGGTGAGCTTGGCATGGGCGCCGTTGGGGGGAATGGCCCGCGATAGCTTTGGGGAGGCAGAGGGGCTGGGGGGGGGGGG